ATATAATATTTCCATTGCACCTTACATTAAATATATCAAATTCATAAATGTAAATGTATTTATTGGATAGGAAATAATAATCAATTATTAATTGTAATCAACTAAATGCATTTTATTAAAATTTACTTTAATTTAAAAAAATCATACATTTTAATTATTATACTATTAGTAAGAATTAAATGTAACTGTAGGAGTTTTTGAATGTATAAAAGAAAAAAAAAATAGGAACAATAACAAAGAAGCAACAGTTTGTCTATAATTTATTTTTTAAATGGCATTTAAATATTAATTAAGTCCATTATCTGTCATGATAATTTTCTTTCTTTAAGACTAAATTCCTATTCATAATAAATGGGCGTAACATATATTCAAATGATTCGTTTATGTGAGGGTATTGATTTGTAAATTAATTAAATGCATTTTACATTTTAAATTCACAAAATTAACCATTATAATTGATTAGAATAATAAGGATTCATTTTGATAAAATAATAAAATATACAATAATTTCATTTTTGCTTTATTATCTAATAAAATTAATTTTATTTTTTTCTTTATTTTCCAAAAAAAATTAAGTAAATTTTTTAAAAATAATCCCTTAAAAATATTTAAGTTAACAGAGTACAAAATAATACTATTAGTAATTTTATTCAATATTTTAATTATAAAACTAAATATTTAAAAAAATGTATAAAATTAATGAATTTAAAAAATTACTTTTAATGTCTAAAAATTGTTAAAATTTAAGTTCAATATTTTAAAAAATATATAAATTATTTACAAATTTAATTTTTCTAATAAATTTTTACCTTTTTTTTTTTAGTAATTTTGTTTCTTTAACATTGATTAAAACTTTATAAAATAAATTTCTTTTTATATTTAATTATTAATATTAACACTTACAAACTTCACATGTTTTTCAATATTTACTTATTTATTAATATACTATATAATTTATTAAATCATGTGCAAAAATAATATAAATATAATTTAAATTTTTTAAGAATTATTTTAAAAAAATTAGTAATAAATATTTATATATTAGTTACAATATAATTGCAAGTAAGTGTTACTAATTATTGGTTAAATAATTGTATAAATTAAATAACAATTGATAAAATAGTGTTATTATTTTTTAAAATGTAATAAAAATCACAAAAAAATTGAACCCAAATATTCCTGTTTTACACATGTATACTTCATAAATCTATGAATTCATACGTATTTTTATGGCAATTTTTACATACAATCTATGAATTTATACATATTTATGCATAAACGGCAAAAATAATTGCAATGTAAAACACAATAAAAGTTGCAAAGAAAATCGAATCCGGATCCTCCTGTTTTACATATACGTGTATACCGTACAGTTTATGAATTTATAATTATCTTAATTCTAAATTATCCTATTTAATCATAATTTGTTAATTTTGGACACGTGTATGCAATATATACTTTAGATTCTACAATTAAACAAAATTTGAATAATTCAAGATGTAAATAAAAAAAAAAAACTTTATCTCGTTAAAAAATAATGGAATGATAGTCGACAAGAAAGTTTGGCATTTTAATCATATTATTTCTTTCAAAAATTATTAAAATATCTCATCTCTTATACGTTATTGCAAATAAATAAATTCTTGAATTTTTTTGAAGTAATTTCGCTACAAATTTTATTAAATTCAAATAACTTCTGTTCTTACACATTAACGAAACTATATACTTATACAGTAAAACTCCGATTTAACAATCTCCTGTCAAGGTTTCCCGTATTTAGTGCTTTCTAGTCATATTTATTTTTTTCGGTAATTACTTGTTGTGTCATTAGTTGCTTATCTTAAAACTTATCTAAGCATTTTCTGCATTCCCGAAACTGTCTATTTATTAGTTTCGAATTTTATTTATTTTAAAATCAATATTGGTATTTTTCTTACTACACTCGAGTTTTCTAGCGGTTGGATCAATTGTCCAATTCTGTATTGATTCAGACCAACTTTCCATACACTGTAGCCACACTCTGCACTTTACCAGTTTCATTCTAACTGACCAAGAATATATTGACAGAACATTTATAACTGTTAAATTTATATTTTCCTTTTCATTTTTACTTAGTTATACTAATTAAAACGAGTAAATTTACTTCAAAAATATTTGCGTGCAGTTTGGTCTTTGCATCATTGAATAAAACGGGAAAAAAAATTTAAATGCGTTCGTCTTCCAACCTGTAGCTCGCGAGCGTTTATTAACATCCCACTTCACGTTATCGTCCTATATGGAATGTCCATATACAAAAAGATTGAGAAGTAATGATCAAATTAGACTTTACGCTGATTTTTTTTATAAATAATGTATGAATTATTATTATTATTACCAATTTTTCGTTTTCGTCTTCCATTTCTAGTCTGGCATTTATGCAATTTCTAGTATCGAGAAATGCTTTCCTCTGTGCACGCTCCATAATGTTATGCACGAATAATCCAACCATGTTGACACATACGTATATCAGGCAGTTGGATGTCAACTGAAAATAAAAAGAAGAATTAAAAATTTTAAAGAAATTGCTAAAATCTTATTAAAATATTAAAAAATAAAATTAAAATAAAGGAAAGGAGAAATGATTTCTAAAACAAAAATTTCCCATTCTCAAAAAAAAATTAAAAAATATTTTTCAATTTCTTAAAATTACTTTCAAATATTAAAAAAAAAAACATTTATTTTTTATTAAAATTCTTTTTTTTTTCTAATAATTATCGTTCTGAGTATTTATGTGTTGTTGGAAACAATATTCATGATTAAAATTATGAATTAATTTATTAAAGTAGTGACAAAAATATGTAAATTTTAATCATGTTCGAGTTCTAAATTCTTCAAATTGTAATTAAAACAAAGAATAAAACTAAATTGATATATCAGTAAGAGCCAAATGCCACAAAAAAAGTAAATAAAAAAATTAAATTAATAAGCTCTGCTTTATATATAATTTTAATTAATTTCTATATTTTTAATTAAATTTTCTACAATTATTTAAATTAACAACTGAATGTAGTTTTTCAAAAATATGTTCTGGAATAAGTACTTCAGAAAAATACATACAAGAATACCCTTTCAAGGATATAGGCTATACAAGGTGTTCATAATTAAAGTTCACATTTTAAAAAGATATAACTGGGAAACTAATCAGCGAATGTGTTATATTTCACACGAAGACTTACGTGATGATAGAATTTTATTTGAAAACAAAGTTAGTTTAAAAATGTCCGCTAGGGCGGTAAGTGGCGCTGCGATACTGTAGTAAATAAGTCAAAACGTCTCAAAGCTTACGATAAACACGGTACGCTGTGTGGCTACGCAAAAGCATGATCGATATGCTGGCCTCCATTGTGGCAACATGTTGAAATCGCCAAATCGCACGTTCAACCACAGCACTCAGTTCTGAAAGCCAGTATATCGAGCATGCTGTTGCATAACGATACAGTGTACCGTGTGCATCGTAAGTTTTGAGACATTTTGAGTTATCTACTACTGTATGGCAGCGCCAATTACCGCCCTAACGGGCATTTTTGTAACTAACTTATTTTTGTTTTCAAATAAAATTCCATCACCACAGAAGTCTCCGTGTGAAATATTATGTCATTCTGCTCATCAATTTCCCAGTTATATCTTTCTTTATTATGAACACCCTGTACTTAGGATATACAAGCATAATACAGAATATATTAAAGAATTGTATTAAGAATATATCATTTTGAAGAATATATTCAAGAATGTTTATTCCTGAAAAAAACGTGTTTAAAAATAGTCTCAAAACTCTATATTCTTTTAAAAAAATTGAAAAATATATTTTAAATTGAATTATAAAAGTAAAAAATAGATAAATACATTACAAATCTACCAATAGTTAATCTTATTTATTTTAAGAGTTGACTTTCATTCCTTTTATTATAATTAGACTAATGACGTTTATTTATTTAGAAAGAGAAAACAACATATTCCTCACTTTAATTCAATTAAGATCTCTTTTAATCTAAGAAAAAGTCACATATTAGTACTTAATTATTTAAAAAAATAATAGTCATAAAATTTAATTAACTGTTAATTTGTGATAATTTTACATTACAGCTTTTGTAATTTTATCAATTTTTTGTATCTTCTTCTTTACAAATGGAAAATTCTTTTTAATCAAATTTATTACTTTGTTTAATTTGGTTGGTATTTTGTAAGTTGCTTCAACTAATTGAGATAATAACTTGCTATTATCCATAATTATCCTGTAACTATAGAAGAAAATATATCTTATGAACATGTCTTTTAACTCCATTTAACTAATTAAATTTTTGTCATTTCTCAGTCACTTTAACTAATTCTATCAGTTTAAATATCACAATAGTCAGAGAAAAGATAGAAAAAGGTCATCAACCTTAGAAACAGGAAAAGCCTCCAGCTAAATTACTTCTAGTCAAATCATATAATGTCTACATACTCAATAGAAGCCATATAGTATAATCATCATCATCATCATCAACATTTTCATCATCATATTCAAACGTTTTTCATCTATTATAAGATGAAATTGTTTTAATGTTGTGTGGGTTAGTAAAGAATAAAATGATTAGAATATTTTTAGAACGATAATGAAGATGATGATCAATATTTGAATTTTAAAGCTTAAATGAGTTAAAAAATAAAATTATTTTTTAAAGAAAATAGGTAAAACTCCTTTTCCTCCCTCATAAAGTTCTGAAAAATTATTTTAAATTTAATAATGTAATGTAAAATTCTTTAAGAACAACAAATCATGTTCTCCTCTTCTAAAAAACTCGTGGGTTTAAAATAGTTGTAAAAAATATATTTATGAATTTATAATTTTTTTAAAATCATCCTTTGCTCCTGTTAATGAACTTTTAATGATAAATATATTCAGTAACTGAAAGGAAAGAAGATAGAAACTTGTTTTTAACGCATCTCGGATATATGAACCATCCGGATTCTGGATTATAAAATTAAAAAGATAAATTAAAAAAAAAAAAAGATAAGAGATCGTCTTTCATCAATGTGTTAACGACAAATAAGTCTGGAGTATGTTAATAATTCCCACATGGAAACAGATCCAGTACAATATAACGAATTTCAATATGACAAGTGGTAAATACAATAAACATAACAGCTACACAAGTAGAATGAACAACAATAATGTATTTGTTCTACAATAAGTATATTGTATAACAACAATATTACAAAAGTAATTACAATGTATCTTATAGACGTAACATCTACATTATTTTTACAGAAAAGATTTCATTTGCATTATAATTATTTCATTCTATTTTATTATTATAATTTATTTAACTTTTATTTTTATTTTTTTTATTGTCATCTAAATATCTTCCTCCATTCTAGTTTTTTATCATCATTTATATATTCTAATTCTCTTTTCTACTTGTTATGTATTGTCTATTTATTTTGCTTTTTGCTTATTTCAATTTTAGATCTTTATTATCACGCGCATATTCTACTATTCGGTTTGTGATTCCAATCTACCTCTTCATTATCATCTGCATAGTCTATTTTTCGGTTGATTACAGGATTCTATTCTTATTACTTGTCATCATCTACCTATCCCACTTTTTTATTATTCTATACAGTATTTCTTTTGCTATCATCATATTCTACTTTTCGGTTGATTATTCTATTCGATTCTTATTATTATCTATACACTCTACCTCTGCTTGATTTTACTAATGTAGCTCTTTATTATCATCTACATAATCTTTTTTTTTTATTTTCTTGATTATTCTGATTTTTTTATCATCATCTATATATTCTATTTGATGTAAAAATGTATAATAGCCTATTTATTCCAGTATTTGGTTGGTAATTCCATCCATTTCGTTATCATCTTCGCATTAACTTTTAAGTTGATTATTCATTTTTAATTAATTATCTTAATTATTCTATGTAATACGCTTCTTTTCACTACAGTACACTTCATCATTTATATATTCTATTTTTCGATTGATCATTCTATTCCACTTCTTTATCATCATCTATACATTCTATCCACTTTTTTATCATCTCTTACACATACTCCTTTCTAGTTTGTTATTTCATTACACTTCGTTATTACAATTTCAAAATTCTACATCTTTTTTCAGTTTTATAACCACAAAAATATATAATATTCTCGCTTATTTTAATAGAATTTATTATACTACAAGACGAAATTCATATACATTCTCAATAATATTCGCATAAGCAGATAGATATATCTACTATGTAAATACTCATTTCCTTAGGTATAGAAAGAGCGTTTGATGTCTACTGAGAATTCCTTTCCTCTCTGTTGACATTTTCGCCTACCAAATAGTGAATTGAAGAGCAAAAATTTTCAGATATGGCTTAAATACGCATGCGTCTCGAGACCACTATAACAATGAAGAGTATTCCCTTAGTGAATTGCTTCTATCACTATTTTATTCATAAGAAAAACCGAAGCTTGAAACAGTGTTTGTTTTTCGTTAGTTTCGTGTTACGAGATGAAATAAAAAATAAAAAAATAAAAAAAAGAGTGGTTCTGACAGTGTAAACAGCTCGCAAAATTCCTTTAGAAGTTAGTATGACGTGTTTGTTTTTCCACATTTATTTTTAAAGTAGCATTTGATGTTCGATGAAATATTCCAAGTCTTCTTATACATTTTTTTCTCCTTTTTTTCTTAATTATTTTTTTGACACAAAGTATCAAAGCTGTTTTACTCAATTCGAGAATTTCTCATTTTATATAAGACATTTTTTAGTTATTTTTCTACTTCCGCGTATTTTAAATATCACTCTTCAATTTTGTGGTTGCATTTCTTTTTTTTTTTTGCAAATTCTTTCAGTAATTAAATGTTTATAAAATACTGTACGTACGGAAATTTTATTTTTTTTAATATTAAAATTTTTGAGAAATTTATTAAAATAAGAAAGAAAAAAATTAAAAAACTGAAAAGTAAATTAGGCGTGTGAATAGAAAAGCCACAACGCGCATTAAGCTATTTAAAATATTAGAAAATTTATAAAAAATAAACTTCATTTTTTCAGTTTTTAATATAAAAATCTTTAATTATCTTCAATTTTTTAATTGAAAATCGTTTGTAATTTCAATTTTACTTTAAATTGAAAAAGAAAAAAAATTAAATTGAACAGAGACCATTATTATTCTTCTTCACATAAAAATCGAGATGGGTTAGACTAATTTTGCAAATTGTTAAAAGCATTAAGAATTAAATAATGAAGCCTCTAGTCAAACAGATTCTTCTTTTATCAAACTGTAAAAAATCATAATACTTCGTATTGATATTCAATAAATTTCTATTCTTTCTCCTTTTCCATTTCAATATCTTTATCTTCTTCTTCTTCACCTGAGGAACGAATTCTGGATTTTTGCCAGACACTTCAACCTTTCAAACGACTATATTTTGAGTTCATTTCTATAAGAAATAACGCCTACTATGAAAAATAGAAATGTAACTGACCTCTGTATCA